GTTAACTGAATAGAAATTAGACGGATTATTGGCACTCTTAAATCCAATTTACAAATATCTGAAAACATTGGGTGGGTATATTATTAATTGCATTGGTAACTTTCTCTTGTAAATCTTCTACAGAAATTGCAGGTGTATGTGTCAGTTCGATGAGGTGTTCGACAGGGAAATAGTGCTTTCTTCCGGAAGAGTTTAACTGAAGGGATTGTTGACTTCCTGAACGTTGATTTAAACTGATAAAATAACTGAAACACTGTCCTTAAAACAACAAACAAGTTGAATGTATCATGGATCATGTTGCAATTCCAAGTTTAATAAATTTTCGACAGTTTACGCAACATATTAGAAGCACCTACAATGTTTACCAAATCAACCAGAAGAGCAGATGAGCAAAATACATAGATTTGTATATTTGGAAACACAATGAAAATTATTAATTATTTATTTGAATCAGCATGCAGTATACTGGATGGTCAACACAACAACATCGCATACATTTACCATGTTATTTAATATCCAGGCCCGAGTTTGAGGTTGCCACTAAATACTGAAATAAGCCATGCGATATCATGAATATGTAAAAAAGATGTTGAATTATTTAATTATGCGTTAGTGCTTTTGTGTTTGCCGGTTCTCAACTAACAGGATGAATTAGTCGGTGAAGCTTTTTAGCATAATATTTGAACGGTGGGAGATTAAATTTTAATATGTATCCATGTAACGTAATGAGGCATAATGTCCATTAAAACCTTTACGTGTAATAAATAATATTGCTTTTCAAAACACAAAGCTTTTAGATTGGTTAACGTCAAATTAGAAGCACCACAATAAAAATATTGCATGTATAATAGTTAGTTACTACTACCATTACCGGTAATTGGCGATTTAATAACACGTACTCATTGATTCTTAAGTTTACAGAAGCTCAAATTAATTTTGACTACAATACCGGCCTGAAGTTTTGAAATCATTTATGATTAAGTTACTTGATTTGTATTTACAATAATTTTGCCGTTTGTACTCTGATTGTAGTATTCCGAAAGTGCAATCTTCTACGGTATGATATTTAAACCATATTTGTGAAATTAAAAAACCCCAACTTTTATATGCGCTTGTATAAGTTCAAATGTACGTAGAGCTAAAATATCGCTCGCTATTAAAACAAGCAATTGATTATAAAACAGGTGACTAAGAACACAAAGCAAAAGAGAACTAAGTGGTCGATTGTGTATTAGAATCATTCAAGTTTGAGGCGTAATGTTTGCTTAGTAAAATTCCCAGACCAAGAGTAGGTCTTAAAAGCCTTAAACTTAAATAACTGAACCGTTCTGAAAACAATGTTCGTGGTGTGATTCCATAAAAGATAAGAACTTAATAATAATCCTTTCACACGACCCCTGTACCCCAAGCGATGAGCGAATGTAATCCCTTTAGACACTCTGGGAAAACAATAATTAAAGATGAAAGCGTTAGCCACTCCATGTATACTTGAAAAAATGTAGAAACCACACAAATAAATTTTATTTAGTTTATTTTTGGATTATATCGTTTTTGAGCTTCTTTCAATTAAATAAAGAGCCCTCAGGTGCATTGAAATAATCTAGAGAGAGATATATGTCAATACAGGGTGATTCAAAATTGGCGTCATTCCTTTTAAGGGGTAATAGAGGCTCACTTATAGAGTGATATGAGAAAAATATTGAAATATTTATTAAAATTAAATAATAAATGAAAATTAAAATAAGATATTAAAAGTTAAAACTCGAATGTCAACTTTGTTATTAAGCACTATTTTAAAATTGTTTCATGTTCAATTGGTAGCATATTGGAATACTTAAGCATTCAAAATTAAAAACTACGATCTTTGCTTCGAATTACGAAAATTTTTGACATTAAAAAAGTTATCTTCTACAATTTTTTGATGAAAACTCAAAGCGGCAATGATGTTTTTTGTCATTAACAGGCAGATAGCCTTTGTCAATAATCTTATTTATTGACTTGACTGACCATAGCTACCCTACAAAATGTAGCAAGTTTTTGAAATTTTTAAATAAAATAAATTATAATTTGATAACGATTGATTTCACAGCTTAAAGTGTAAATGCAAATTTGTAACTTTGTAAATTGTCTATCTAAGGACGTACTAATATACAGGTACTTCCATTTGAAATACAAAAGTTATATTGCGTTAAAAAGTTTTAGATTGAAGTCCACATTTTTAACACCCTGTACAATTTACTGATATTTTGATTCAGACATATATTTTTGTATCTTTTTTTGCTTCCGCACTGAATTTTTAAATACCATGTTTTTAAGCAAACTTTTACCAAAATGGCGATAATCTGCCAACGTCGCAAGTAAGAAAAAAACAATAGGTGCATATGCCGCGTTTCAAGCTGCATTCCATGAGCTAATGAAAAATGGGTAGTTCTATTTAAAAATATGCACTTTGATCTTGCCTGGCTTTTCTGAGACCCTCTGTATCATTTAAGATATTTGTAAAATGTGCGCACTTTGTGCGTTAACAACTTTTATATGAAACTAGTTTTCGAAAGTTCAACACCATCGAAAATAATGAACTCTATCGCACTAAAAAACCACCCTGTATGCATTCCGTCGCTCTTAATGATGCGAGCAAAGTAAAGCATCAACAAGAAATTGCATTGAGTTACATTCTTGCAACTTAAATTGTAAGCAATAATTAATTAAACACTAAGCAAAGATAAGAACATGTACCGAGGTTACAATTGCAACCTCGA